GTTTCTCCTTCTGAGCTGTTTGATAAGAATCCAGACAAGATATCTATAAGAGCAGGGATAGGATCAAGCTGTCAGGACTTTGATTCTCCTCTAGTTTCTATTTACGTTAGCCAACAACAAAAACAGATGTTTATTAGGCCAAGCAGTCACTTGATGCAAGCCAAGGGCAGTCTAGTTTCATCCACAATGCCTAGAAGGAACTGGGTGTTTCAGAAGAAATGGCCTGGAGGAAATCCGTTTTTCGCACTCCTGTAGACAGCACAAACAACACTGGGTTTATCTGATATGTGGAGCTGCAAATTCTGTACCTTTAGTTTTTCCAGACAATTGCTGTTTTTTCCCATAAAAGAATAGTGGCAGTTAATTCAACATGTGAACAGTCAGCCAACAATGCTTTGCTGTTATGTACCTTCAAGCTGACTCTGGCAGCATCTGCACTGTACAAATAATCCAGTTTGATACCACTTTAACTGCCATGGCTCAATGCTATGGAATTCTTGGAGTTGTAGTTTTGTGAGGCAGTCTTCTCTGTCAGACAATCTGGTGCCACAACAAACTACAGTTCCCAGAGTTCCATAGCACTGAACCATGGAAATTAAAGTGGTGTCAAACTGGATTATTTCTGCAGTGTGGATGCAGCTACTGACGACAACCCTGTAATAGAATTTTTTCAGCAAGCTTTATTTAGATGAGGTTTGCCATCATCTTCTTGTTAGGCTGAGAGAGTATGACTTGCCAAATGTCACCCAGCAAGGTTTCATGGCTAAACTGGGATCTGAACCCTCTTCTCTTGGAGTCTAAGGGCCTTTACAGACTGCCAGAAATAATGCAGCTTGAGACCACTTTAACTGCCCTGGCTGTGCTAGGGAATCATGGGAACTGTAGTTTATTGTGGCATCAGAGCTCTCTGACAGAGAAGGGTCAATGTCTCAGAAAAGACTACAGTTTCCATGATTCCCTAGCATTGGGCCAGGGTAATTAAAGTGGACTCAAGCTGGTTTACTGCTAGCAGTCTGTAAAGGCCCTTAGTGCTGCTATAACTTTGATAAGGGGATTATGAAAATAGGGGACTTGGAAATATTTTTAGCAGGAGCTTGACCTAGATAATGTACTTTGTTTAGTACTGCTTTTGCAACATTTAAGCCAAAAACTGTCTAAGGAAATAAAGCTGAAATAAATCTGGATGTAATAAGACAACATGCAAGATCTCTTCAGGTATTCTAATTCCCCTGTGTCAGAAACACCATATGAGCAGAAAAAAGGACGAGTATGTTACCTCCATATCACTTCCAGGAAAAATTGGGGGGGGGGGGATAATTTTTGGAATACAACTCCCAGAACCCCCTAGTCAACACCTTTGGTCAAGCTCTGATCCTCCTACCATAAGTTGGCATGTAAGTTTTTCTGCTTGTGTACACTCCCCTAAATGATTTAGAGTAGGGATAAGCAACTTCGGGGAGCAAGTGTGGTGTAGTGGCTTGAGAGTTGGACTATGACTCAGAGAATCAGGGTTTGAATCCCTGCTTGACCATAAAAACCCACTGGGTAACCTTTGGCAAGTCACTCTCTTCATTCACCCTTTGAAAGAGGTACGGCATAACCTTGTACAATTCACAGAATTGGTCCCGAGTAGCCATCTCTCTCTGGGTGGGTGAGAATGGCAAGAATGGACACATCACCACTGAAGCTACAATGAAATGGTGTATGAGTGATGTATGTGAGAGATAGTTTCCTGGAGAAGTCACTTTTACTTGCTCAAGTGCTCAAAGATGTATTCTGCAGCCCACTTGGTAGCCTTCCTGCCATACCACTAACTGCATGGGCTCAAGTCCAGTACATTACAAATTTTCCTTCCACTGATGTAACTAAACTGGTATTCTTTGACTCACATGGTGATGTGCACTACATTACTACAGCCTGAAGATGCCAGGCACCTTAAGACCAGCCAACGTCCATGATGAGTAAACCAGCATTTGGAATAGTTGCTCTATAATAATGATGATGATGGTTACTAGTACTAATACGACACCTCCCAGAATCCTCCAGTCAGTATGCCCTCTGGAACACTGGGAGTTCTAATAAAAAAGTAACATCTCCAAGCTCTAGAATGAACTAAATTCCAGGGAAATCTGTCAAGCAACAATTTTATAATGGGGAGGTCTTCCAGTTCAATGATCAAAACTCCCAGATCCAATCCTTATATAGCATTTCCATTTTACAAGGATGCCAGGGCAGGAAAAGCTACCTTCTGCCCAACTTCTCAAAGAGCTGCAGCCTGGCCAGCCTGTTTGTACTGGACTACAGCTACCATCATCCTCAACCAACATGGCTAATGATTAGGGTGAGGGTGGGGAGTTCTAGTTCAAAATGTCTGGAGAACACCAGATTGCCTACCTCTAGAATAGCTGGTATTAGACTAGATAGAGCAATGATTCAATCAGTATAAAGCTGCTTCATACTCTGTTGTTTGAGATCTTATTAGGGTAGGTGTGAACACAGGATGACAACACTGGTTTGACTGATTGCTAAGATGCAAGTGACTCGGAGCTTTCCAAATTTTATATTTAAAAAACAACAACACTTAAACTAGCCTAGGAAGCAGAGAGCCTGTGGATGCCTCTTTGAGTCCAGAAAATGAAGGATCAAGTGTGGAACATGGAGGAAGTGCAAGTGAGGCCACACTTGCTCCCTGCTTCTGCTCTTCCTCTTCTTTTCAACAGCAAAAAATAGTATCTCTTGTAGGATATTTCTGGAGCACCAGATAAAGGGAAGATGTGCATGCACATCAAATGACAAAGCTACAAAGAATGAGGGGCAAGAATGAGAAACACAAGCTCATATGCCCATTTGGGTTCCCTTGGCTGCCAGAGCCTCTCAAAAAGATGTTGTGGCCTTCACATTTTTTCCAACATATGGTGGGCTTATCATGGGTTTTTCTTAGCAAGATTTGTTCAGAGGGGGTTTGCCATTGCCATTGCCATTGCCATTCTTTGAGGCTGAGAGAGTGTGACTTGTCCAAGGTCACCTAGTGGGTCTACATAGCCGAGCTGGGATTCAAACCTTGGTCTCCAGAGTCCTAGGCCAAAGCTCAAACCACTAAATGCTGGCTCCTCTCAACAAGAAAAAATTTAGCAGAAGCAGGAAGCAGTATTACAAGCAACAGACATCAGTGAAACAAAATAAGCTCAAAAGTGTGAATTTAGAGAACAATTCTTCCTGAAAAGCAAAGAAATAAAAAGCACCCTTGTAATGAAGGCATCACTCCTGAGGATGGATACTATGTCTTCCTCCTGAACAGCAAAAGTGGCAGAAAGAAGCGCCCAGGCCTGGAGGGCTGCATTCCTGAGCATGTGTAGAAAGCCCTTCCGTTCATGAGGTAGCTACCACAATCACTCTTCCATCCACATATCTTCAAGGAAGTCGTTATGTGTGTGCGGATGTCGGGAAAGGACTTCAGTTCAAAGAGCACATTGTTTGAACCTTGAAAATGTATCCGGGGTAGCTGTGAGAGCCAGCATGGCATAATGGTTTGACTGTTGGACTATGAATCTGGAGATCAGGGTTCGATTCTCCCCTTGGCCACATTCTCAGCCTTGGGGAAGGCAATGCCTCTGAAGAAACCTCCCAAGAAAATCCTATGATAGGTTCACTTTAGGGCAGGGGTAGGCAACCTAAGGCCGGGGGGGGGGGGGGGGGGGGGGGGGGGGGGGGGGCAGATGCGGCCCCCTGAGGCCTTTGGACCGGCCCCAGGCCAGTCCTGCCGCTGCTGCTCCCAGCTGCCACTGCCCCCCGCCATAATGATATTGATTATTTTGTTGTTATTATTTGTTCTTGGGGTTTTCTTGGCAAAATCTCCACAGGGCTTTTCTGGGACTGAGAGAGTGTGCATGCATATTTTTTTATTTAATTTTTTAAAATATTTATTTATTTATTTATTTATGGTGCTTTGGCCCCCCAATTGTCTGAGGGACAGCAACCTGGCCCCCAGCTCAAAAAGGTTGCCTACCCCTGCTTTAGGGTCACCATAAGTCAGAAATGACTTGAAGGCACACAACACACACACAGCCAAGCCAGTGTGGCATAGTGGCTGGACTGTGACTCTGAAGACCAGGGTTTGAATCCCTGCTCAGTCATGGAAACCCACTGGATGACCCTGGTCAATCCACATGTTCTCAACCTCAGGGGAAAACAATGTCAAACCTCCTCTGAAGAAACTTGCCTAGAAAACCCAGATAGGATCGCCATGAGTCGGAGATGACTTGAAGGCACACAACACACACACAGTCATGACTGCCAGTGTGGCACAGTGGTTTGAGTGCTGGACTGCAAATCTGGAGACCAAGGTTCAATTATGTGCTCAGCCACTGGGTGACCTTGGGCAAGTCACACACTCTCAGCCTCAGGGGAAAACAATGACAAACCTCCTGTGAAGAAACTAGACAAGAAAACCCCATGATAGGGTTGTCATAAGTTGGAAACATCTTGAAGGCACAACAACCACAGCCATGTAGGCCATGTGGCAAAGTACAATCTCCAGAATTCACCCAAAGGGTGATCCCTTTATGAGGCTGACCCAAATGCCCCAAATACATGGTGGATCCCATGTATTTGGTGCATTTGGGTTGGCCCCATAAAGGACACCATGTATTTGGTGCATTTGGGTTGGCTCCATTAAAGGATCACCCTGTTGGGTGGATTCTGGAGGTTGTTATACTTTGGACCTTGAGCACATCCAAATCCGCAGCCAGGAAAGCGAAAGTTAAACTGTCTTGGATCCCATTTTGGGAGAGACGAGGGATCTAAGGGCCTTTGCAGACTGCCAGAAATAGTGCACATTAAATTGAGGCACTGCCCTGGCTCAGTGCTAGGGAATCATGGGAATTGTATTTTTTTTTTCTGAGACATTGAGCCTTCTCTGTCAGAGAGCTCTGGTGCCACAATAAATTAGTTCCCATGATTCCCTAGCACTGAGCCAGGGCAGTGCCTCAATTTAATGTGCACTATTTCTGGCAGTCTGCTTAGGCCAGGGGTAGGCAACCTTTCCCCTTTAAGGGCCGAGGGACTTCAGTTCCCAGAAGCCTCAGCCATGTTGGCCAATAGTCCCATGTTGGCCAATAGCTCCTGGGATTCTGGGAGCTGAAGTCCCTCGGCCCTTAAAGGGGAAAGGTTGCCTACCCCTGGCTTAGGCCCTATGTGCCATTGATCCCTGGAAGCGGGGGTGGGGGGTAAGAACCGGGCGTCCTCCATTTTCAGCCTTTTTGTCCCACAAAGGTCCTCCTTCCTCTGGAGCAGCGATGCCCAAACTGTGCCCTTTAAGGGAATTGTGGGGACTTTAGCTCCCAGAAGCCTCAGCCATGTTGGCCAATAGTCTGGGATTCTGGGAGGTGAAGTCCAAAATCCCTTAAACAGGCACAGTTTGGGGATCGCTGGCTAGGAAGGATGCATTTAGATTTCGGGGATTGTTTTGGGAACTTTGATTTGGTCCTGTCCTCCATTCCGGGGGGCTTTGTCCTCCTCCTTGGCGGTGAAGAGGAGGAGGAGGGCCTCTGGTCACCCTGAATATGGAAGAGCAGCCCATGGGTCTTCTTCTTCCTTCACTCACCCCGGGGCCCCCTCCGGCTCGGTAGGCGACCTCCACCACCAGGGAGTCCCCCGCGGCCACCGCTTCGGGCAAGGCGAGGCTCAGGGCGGAGCCGTAGCTGGCGAAGGGGGTCTCTTGGAAGGCGATGGGGCGCCGCAATTCGGCCTCGGGGCTCCCTCCTCCTCCCGGGGTGACGGCTGAGGCGCCCTCCACTTCCAGGCTGGGATGGGAGTCCAGGAGGA